ATGAATCCTTAAATTTTCCAATACATCTGTACAAGCCTTTTAAAGTGAGACACAAATACGGGGAAGATCAGAAATGCTTTGCCATCACAGCAGAGGTGGGAGTCACAGCAGGAGCCACACACTGCTGTGTGATATTAGCCATAGCGTATCAAAGCTGGCTTAATACTGAGCCAACTGGCCCGAGGCAAGACCTATGTGACGGCATTTATTGGCTCTTTATAAAAAAGCGTTCTGAACTCTTCTGCTGACATACAAAATGTGGAAGAGACTAATCAAATGTGTGTGGTATTCTTAAGGGAGGACTGCTATACGCTACACATTAAGCAACCTACAACCAGCAGATGTGAATGTCTGATTTACACACTTTATGTAAATGTGACCCTGGGAATGAACAGATGGACTAGAAAGACTATACATGGGACAGAAAGTAGATATTGGTCATAAAAGATCTATATAATGAAAGATCAAATATCCCAAGTTGGGGATGATGGTATTTGAGCATGTTTATGGAGCTCTGTAGAGACCCATGAATGTTTCATTTAACTATTCATGCTTCAAGAGTAGGACAGATGGTTGAAGCACACTAAAAAAAGAATGTTTCTGAATTTAACTATTAAATTTTTTGCCTATGAGGTCAGTCCATGCTTTTTTTTTTTGTCAAAAACAGTTATAATGCAGTTTTTCGATCCTTTTGGGTTTACAGTTGGGCTCAATAAAGTTTTCAAAGCTTCATTCCTCAATAAAAGTCCAAGCCTGCATTACTGTGTGACAGTTCCACAACATAATTTGTGCTGAAATGTGCTTCACAAACTGTTAAGGTTTAACTGAAATGATTGGGAAACTTATTAAAAAATAGCAGTAGGTGCTACACAGCCAGAGACTGCACAAAGACACAGATGAGAAGAAATTGTTGAACAAAGTCATTATTTTTGTTTTCTTTGCGCACAAAATGTATTCTCGTAGCTTCATTACATTACGGTTGAACCACTGATGTCACATGGACTATTTTAACGATGTCCTTACTACCTTTCTGGGCCTTGAACGTGGTAGTTCTGTTGCTGTATGCAGGGTCAGAAAGCTCTCGGGTTTGTGTTCTGAAGATGAACAGAGGTCTTACAGGTTTGGAACGACATGAGGGTGAGCAATTAAATGACAGAATTTTCATTTTTGCTTGAACTATCCCTTTAACAGTTTCTATCCTATTTAGTTCATATCAGCTCATTGCTGTTTTTCTGAACAATGCTGTTGTTTCATCAACATGTGAATACATTCACATGTCTGACACCAAAAAGTTAAGGAAGTTCAGGAAATCTGTCATTCTGTGTTTTCATAGTGCACCGAACACATTTACAGTACTTCAAAATGTCAAGGAAAATGTGATTTCTCATTCTATGCCCACTTTTAACTGTGTTCTTACTCTCCCACTTTGGAGGGAACCAGTACATTTAGAACAACTTTATATTGAATTTGGACATCTGCAAAACCTTGGCGAAAGAAATTTAGCATAAAATAAACATCAGCTCTCACTTAGCTTCAGCCACATTTGGCAGGTGAGCACTTTAAAGCAAAGCTTGTGCCTCTCTGCAACTATTTAATTTCATTAAAAGCAGGCACAGCCACATTTTGTCTGTTGATTGAAGCCGTTTGGCAGACAAAAGGGTATATAAATAGGAGCACATTATGAAATGCTGATGCTCTGCATAACATGCATACTTGGTGTTTTATTATAGGGATAGTTCACCCAAAAAGGAACATTTCTGTCATTACTTATTCATTGTTTCAAACCTGAAAAAGTAGATATTTTGAAGAATGTTTGCAACCAAACTGTTGATGGTCTCTATTGACTTCCATAGTATTTATTTCCATACTATGAACGTCAGTGGGATCCATCAACTGTTTGGTTACTCGTATTCTTCAAAATATCTTCTTTTATCTTCTTTTAACAGAAGATAGAAACTCATATAGGTTTGGAACAACACGAGGGAGAAGTAAATGAAGACAGAATTTTCATTTACGCCAGTTTATGCCATCTGAAATTCTACTCTATGGAATTAATTAATCAACTCTCACGTACATCTTGCAAGCAATACAACACATTTCCTGCCTAAACCTATTTAATGCAACTTCAATGTAGCTACTATTGAGAAAAATGGGCTTGAAACAAACTATAAATATGAAAAAATGCCCCAAACCATGTTTCACACAGAATTATCTGGAACTATCGGTTGGTTATGAGCAAAAGCAGGTTAAATAAAGAGAGAGTTTGTTTGATGAAGGCATGTTTAGAGGGGTAAACAAGACTGAATTCACCATATCCGTGGCGGGTCTGAGCACCTGCGCCTTCACTAAAGCTGAGATGTGGCCTGTAATTGCCATGGCGTACAAATGTGAGTTGGTCACACCCAAACCAACACACAAAATGCTGTGAACATTTCATGCTGCTTTTATCCAATACACTGCAGTAAAGTGCCACTCAAATAGCAGCATGCATGTGCGTCTGTTGCCATGTGTAAGGCCTTGAAATTGAGGTTGAAATACCATTTCAGCAACATACAGTGCTAATAAAAAGTCAACATCCTCCTGTTCTTTTCCACATCTTGAGAATTAATGGCAGAATAACAACACATGGACATTTTACAAAACAAATTCCAAATGAAAGCTAAAGAAAAAAGCCATGATTTGGCGTTTTTATGCAGTTGCTTAGGGATTCTGCTTCTGTTAAGTAGTTGTTAACAAATTGGCTCACCCTCTTTGGGAACACCCCTATTTATTTGGTCAAATGAAGGTGAAAGATCTTTCCAAGCAGATTTGTGACAAAGGTCTTGAAAATTCCCAGTCAGGGCAAGAATATAAAAAATTATGCCAATGGATATCTCTCAACACACTGTAAAGCTCCCTATTACAAACGTGACCGAAGGTAAATCTTCTCAGAACTGGCTGTCCTCCAAAGCTCATTATCCAAGCAAAGAGTAAGTGACGCCACTAAGAGGCCTATACAAATTTGAAATCAAATCTAAAAGAGTTGCAGTCCTCCAGACAGAGATGTAAAAAACAACAGGAAAAACTCGTAAGATGAGAAAAATAGAAAAACTAATTAAAAACTAGCGAGAAATGTAAATCTTTCAACAGCATACAAGAAAACCCACAACAAGGGTAATTTCCTGGAGTGGCCCAGTCAAAACTAGATTTAAAATCTGACTGGGCATCTTTGGAAGGTCCCAATCAACTTCCAAAAATGGTCCCAATCAACTTTCAAATTGCTAAGAAAAGTGGACACAAATTTCAGTGGCCAAAGAAACTGCTGTCCAAGGAGATGTGCATAAATAGTGGGGTAAATGCCATGGTTGTGTACCATTCAGAATTCTATTGAGAATGTCTTTCCTGAATTTCAATTGAGCTTGAACTGACGTAGTAAACAGAAATTAGAATTGTAATTCAAATATGAATTTAAGTAAGAAAGTAGAATTATAACCAAACTGAAATTCCAAGGAATGTATATTTCTCTAAGTGTAATTTGTAACCACTTAACTAATTAACTAATTAAATAATGTTTAGCAAAGATTAAAAATGTTTTACAGGCCTTAAAGGATGGAAGAACACAATTTCCATGAATGCCATTACCTTCACTTTCTGTTATTTCAATTTAAATTCCAGGTCAACTTCTTGTGTATTGTGGCCAATTCAATTCATATTCAACCAATGGATTTAATGAAAACCTATTCAAATTCATTATGCGACTATTTTGATTACGTCATCATTGGTGTTTATTTTGAATGCTCAAAATTCAATCAGTATAATATGTACCACTGTTCAAAAGTTTGGGGTCATTGAGGTTTTTGTTTTTTAAATCAATACTTTTATTCAGCAAGGATGCATTAAATTGATCAAAAGTGATAGCAAAGACTTTCAAATAAGAAAGTATAAAATAAATCAAATAAATGATCAAAGAATCCTGTAAAAAGATATATAACACAGTCACCACAAAAGTATCAAGCAGAAGTTCAGCATTGATGATAAGAAATGTTTCTTGGTCAGCAAATCGGCATATTAAAATGATTTCTGGAGGATCATGTGACATTTAAGACTGAAGTAATGGCTGCTAAAAATTCAGCGTCGCATCACAGGAATAAATTACATTTTAAAATATATTAAAGTTGAGAAATTATCTTAAATTTTAATAAAATTAACTGTAATGTGTATTTTGATCAAATAAATGCAGCCCAAGCCAAAATAAGTGACTTAAAATGAAATAAACATTAGAAAAAATCATACCACACCCAGACTTTTGAATATTAGTGAGATGTTTTCAACGAAACCTGAATATATGCAGAATATTAATACAGTGCTGCATTGTAAGCCCCATAATAACAAGGCCTATGAAATAAGGCACTGATACACAGAGAGACTTGAAACTGAAAATGAATAACAAAAGAACTGTTGAATAGTTGGTTTCGTGAAAGAAGTACATCAGCTCTGGGTAATACTAAAAATGGCCTTGCATTGAATAAAATATGTCCCTTCAGTTAAGTTTCACAAAAGAACCCTTAGAGAAATAGAGCTGTCTGGACCATCTCTGAAAAGACGGATTAAGTGAAACCTTCTAAATGTAGAACTGAGATGCTGAATATTCATAATTGCTTTGGATGAATGATTAGTGCAGAGAAAGTGTATTTATGGAATGATACATGAGCATGTAATGAGGATTATTACGTATTCATACAAAAGAGGAAATTGAATATTAAATGGTACGAGGAGGAGAGACTGAAGAGAGGGAAAAAAAACAAAAACCTCGCCAAAACTAAAGAAAGATTGAGGCTGCAGAGAAGAAAACAGGATAAAAGACATAAGTGACAGGAAGTAAATTGCTCCGAGCTACAGACAGAAAGGAAAAAAGACAGGGGAGGAAAAAACAGAAGCGTTCCACTTAGAGTCCCTGGCGAATGCCTGATGCCTGTCGGACAGAAGAGAAAGGAGTGTATGTGTGTGTAACCCAGGCTGACCGGTGTACTCCGCTGTTACACATGACGATGTGACAAGCTCCCAGGCGGCTGCACAGCTCCGAGGCCACGGTAAGCAGCCCGACTCCAGACGCTCCACAGGCTGTGAACTGGCACGCGGCCGTCCGCCGACACGAGATAAAACTTTCCATCAGTCTGTACAACTCATCCAGAGCATTCAGAGGACGCATCAGCTACAAAGAGAGAGAGTAATAGAATAACATTACAATAACATTCCATATTAAAGGGATAGTTCACCGAACAGAGTTATCATTTAATCACACTCTGATGTTCCAAACCCATGGTCTGAAAAATAAAAGTTCCAGTAGAAGGGTTTCACATGCGATAGCATAAAAGAACCCATTTTTACTTAGCATAAGGAACAATTTAATAATCCAAACCCCTTTTTCCACTGTAAAGGACCTTTTGTGCAATGAAAAGTTTCCATGGATGTTCAAGTTTCTTCATAGAACCATCAATGCCAATAAAGAGCCTTTATTTTGAAGACATATACTGTACATATAGACACAAATGTACATATAATTTGCCTTCATCTGTGAAACATGAAAAGAAACATTTTAACATCTAGAATTGTCATGCTTTTCCAAACAATGACAGTTCATATAGTAACCAAGCTCTTAAAACAAATGAATCAATGAACAAATGAATGAAAAATTTATAAACAAACAAATAAATCATTTTAAGTGAGCTTTGACTTGTGAACTGCTGTGGAGGACCGAATCAGTCCGATTCGTGAATGAATCATTCAGTCTAGTTTGTGAATTAGATCAACTGCTTCACTGAAAAGAACTGACTCAAAAGAACAACTCATTTACAAATTAGACTGACTCATTTCTTGTGTTCAACTGATTTGGTTCACAATTCATTCTTGATTGAACTTTTGAGTTGCTGTGTGAAGATTCTTAAAAATTCACCTTTTGTGTCCCCGTCCATTCTGCAGTTGGGTCCTTCCGTGAAAACCTTGACAAGTTGCTGTGTGAAGATTCTTAAAAATTCACCTTTTGTGCTTCACTGAAACAATAAGAACATATGTGACCCTGGACCACAAAACCAGTCTTAAATCGCTTGGGTATATTTTTAGCAATTGCCAAAAAAACATTGTATGGGTCAAAATGATAGATTTTTCTTTTATGCCAAAAATCATTAGGATATTAAGTAAAGATCATGTTCCACGAAGATATTTTGTAAATTTCCTACTGCAAATAAATCAAAACTTCATTTCTGATTAGCAATATGCATTGCTAAGAACTTCATTTGGACAAATTTAAAGGCGATTTTCTCAGTATTTAGATTTTTTTGCACCCTCAGATTACAGATTTTCAAATAGTTGTATCTCTGCCAAATATTATCCTATCCTAACAAACATCAACGGAAAGCTTATTTATTCAGCTTTCAGATGGTGTATAAATCTCAATTTCCAAAAATTTACCCTTATGACTGGTTTTGTGGTCCAGGGTCACATATGGGTTTAGAACGACATGAAGGTGAGCAATTAATGACAGAACAGGTTCCTTTTTTCATTATTGAGAATCAATAAGTGCATTCAATAAATAACTAGCTTCACTGTACTGCCATAAACACAGATTTCTCACAAGTCCCTGCAGATTGTATAGTGAGTGATGGCACATACCTTGTCTATGAAGGCTGCTTTGGGAGCTGAGCTCGGGGGAAGGTTTGATTTATACAGATAAAAGGCCCTATGAATGATTAATACAGACAAGTTAGTGTAAGCAGTGAACACGCAGAGACAAATGATTGCATATACAAGCAACACAGGATGTGCTGTAAAACCTAATTTGTGATTTGATTCACATAAAAAGAAAGCTGGTTGTAAGAATTCTTCAGTCTACCAACAAAGCAGCTGCTACAAAAAAACAATGCATATCTACAGTACAGGGATTCCTTCCAGATATCAATTACTGGCTGCAGTAACCATAACGGCCATAGGTGGCAGTAGAGGAGTTGAAAGAGTATGAATGTGATGGCATTCTGGTCAACACAACAATATATATATTTTTTTTTATAAATAATTTTAATATAAAAATAAATTATATTAAATTATTCCTTTATAAACAATAAACATTTGTATTATTGCTTATTATTTTATTTTGAATATACATATAGTATAGAGTTAGTAAGTATAGGCAGAACAAACCAGAATAACCTCATTTTAAATTAAAGTATCACTCTTTTATTGTAAACCCCTTTAAAAACATATGGCAAAATCCTGTCTGTTTTGTGGTTCTGGTTCCGTGGCATATTGCAGCACATGTTTATTGTCAGGAAAATTAATCTGCCATCTGCACCCAGCAAGGGAGAGATTTATCACGATAATATTCTCATTTGACGCAGCATTAATATTATTGTTAATTAGTCCAAGATATTAATCCTTCACTGATTGGAGCAAATGATATGAAAATGTGAAACTAGAAGTATGCCACTATTAGAGACTATTAATAAAGCCAAATTATGTTTTCAAAGGCAGACTCAGGTATTATCTCTCTCTCTCAAAAAACAAAAAACAAAAACAAGTGCACACATGCGCAGAGTCTTGAGCTGCCATAATAAGATCCTACTCACCCTGCATACTAATTGAGGCAGCTCACGTTAGTGTAATGGAAAGCATTAAGCAAAGTTCTTTAGAAACACCCTGAGGCCATCAGCTTAAAGCACTAAGAGCTTTAAGCACTAATTCCACTAATTTACAAAAGGATTTTCATCTTCATTTCATTAAGCAGCACCCAACATACAGTATCCTGCAAAGTGCAAACAAACACTATTGGAGGTTAATTGCCTTAGAAACATCCATCAAGGCCTCTAAGCTCTGATTCATCATCTGTTGGGCTCCAATAGACATTGTAGTCATTTCAATGCAGTGTAATACAAAGGGATGTCTGTGATCATGGTATACTATCACTTCATTATCTTTCTCACTTATTTTGACCTTTTTCGAATTCCATAAATAAAGCTTTCAATTCAGTCCTTTGGCCTTTATTTTCTGAGTAAAATAACAGTCAAGTTTACCATTCGATTGAAAAAGAAATTAAATCAATAAAGAGAGTTTGAACAAATATTAATAAATAAAACCTCCCGGCTATCTGCTATGGTTTCATCTTCGCTTCCTCGCCCTAAACAGTGCTACTGACACTTTCTGCACCACTCTTACATCTTGTTTATACACTATCTGCCTCTTGTCTTCCAGGCCAGGCCGTACCACCCCTTCTGCTCCTTGGCTGTCTGATGTTCTCCGCAAACATCGTTCTAAACTCAGAGATGCTGAAAGGGTGTGGCGCAAATAAAAAAATCCTACTGACCTTAATGTGTATCAGTCACTCCTCTCTTGCTTCTCTGCTCATGTCTCCATTGCTAAAAGGACATACTATCATAACAAAATTAACAATTCATCTAACTCTCGCATGCTCTTTAAAACATCTTCCTCCCTCCTTTGTCCTCCTCCTCCCCCTCCTTCATCAACTCTAACAGCTGACAACTTTGCCACCTTCTTCATTAATAAAATTAAAACCATCAGTGCACTATTTTCCACACCACAATCTGTCAAGCACATCTTACCTGCAAACATACACTTGTTGACATCCTTCTCTTCACTCTCTGAGGCAGAAGTCTCCAATCTCATCCTTTCTAATAATCGTACTACTTGTCCGCTTGATCCTATTCCATCTCATCTCCTTCAAGCCATTTCTCCTGCAACTGTACCTGCACTCACTCACATCATTAACACATCCCTTCACACTGGTGTTTTTCCCTCAGCATTTAGACAGGCTTGTATAACCCCACTTCTTAAGAAACCCACTCTTAACCCAACTCTTTTAGAGAACTACAGACCGGTTTCCCTTCTTTCTTTCATTGCAAAAACACTTGAACGAGCTGTGTTCAACCAAGTCTCTGCCTTTCTCACACAGAACAACCTCGTCGACAGCAACCAGTCTGGTTTCAGAAGTAGACATTCAACCGAGACTGCCTTGCTCTCAGTTGTTGAAGCCCTAAGACTGGCAAGAGCGGATTCCAAATCTTCAATACTTATCTTGCTAGATATGTCCGCTGTTTTGACACGGTTAACCACCAGATCCTCCTGTCAACCCAATTGGCAAAGGGCATCTGCTATGCTGATGACACTCAACTTTACCTCTCATTCCATCCTGATGATCCGACGATATCTGCTCGCATTTTAGCTTGTCTAACTTGCTGGATGAAGGACTATCACCTTCAACTCAATCTTGCCAAGACAGAACTGCTTGTGGTTCCAGCAAACCCATCGTTTCATCACAATTTCACCTTCCAGTTAGGCACATCAACCATAACTCCTTCAAAAACAGCCAGAAACCTTGGAGTTATGATTGATGATCAGCTTACTTTCTCAGACCGCATTGCTAAAACTGCCCGGTCCTGCAGATTTGCTTTATTCAACATCAAGAAGATCAGGCCCTTTCTTTCGGAACATGCTTCACAACTCCTTGTTCAAGCTCTTGTTCTGTCCAGACTGGACTATTGCAATGCTCTCTTGGCAGGTCTTCCAGCCAGTCCTATCAAACCTTTACAGAATGCGGCAGGAAGATGAATTTTTAATGAGCCAAAAAGAATGCACGTCACACCTCTGTTTATCAATTTGCACTGGCTACCAATAGATGCTCGCATAAAATTCAAGGCATTAATGTTTGCCTACAAAACCACCACTGGCTCTGCACCACTTTACCTAAATTCATTACTTCAGACTTATGTGCCCTCTAGAAGCTTGCGTTCTGCAAGTGAACATCACTTTATTGTGCCATCCCAAAGAGGCACAAAATCACTTTCACAGACTTTTAAATGAAATGTTCCCTCCTGGTGGAATGACCTGCCCAACTCAATCCGAGCAGAGAGTCCTAAGCCATTTTCAAGAATTGGCTAAACACTCATCTCTTCCATCTTTATTTGACCCTCTAACTTTAGCACTCTCTAATCTAATTCTATTCTTCAAAAAAAGTGTCCTTTTTAGACTTGCACTCTATTCATTTACTGCTTGTTTTCTTTAAAAAAAACAGTTGTTTTAAATTGTAATAATATTTCATAATATTGCTGTTTTTACTGTATTTTTGATCAAATAAAAGCAGCACTGGTGGGCATAAGAATAGCCTTTTAAAAACATTAAAATCTTACGGACCCCAAACTTTTGAATGGTTCTGTACATATTAGTATTGCATTTATAACAACAGCAATAATAATAATAATAATAATTATTATTATTATTATTATTATTATTAAATTTACATTTAAAAGTTTATTTTCCATATTTGCATGCAAAGTAGTGACAAGATATAATTAAACATCTCTAAATATATATATATATATATATATATATATATATATATATTCAAATTGTCTGATATTTACTGACCCTGACTACAACAGAGTGTTGAAAAGACAGAGAAAAACAGAGAGAAAGAGACCAGGCAAAAAGAAAATATACTCTGTAATTTCTGTCAAGGAGATAAATGCCTCGCAGTCTGCCGACACAAGACCTTCGCAATCCAGCAGTTCTGTGCCGGCTGCTTGATCATTTATGTGAAGTTCTCGCCTCTGAAGTTTTAGTCTATGTCACCCTTCCTGCAGATGGCCTAAAGTCTCAGAGTAAGCCATGGCCACATCCATCAGCAAAGTCTCCAAAGAGGTCCTTGCCTGGCCATTTCAGAGCAGGATTTGAAAAGTGCACTGTAACCCAGGGCCACACTCAGTTTGACTGAAATCTATCGAGGATTCTTTATAAGAGAAAAGTATGAAAGCCAAACACAATCGATTATGAGGTGGTATTAAACAACAAAGCCGTGCTACACCAGTAAAAGTTTGCTGAAGTTTTTGAAAAGTACATACCCTCAGGTCATCCAAGATGTAAATGATTTTGTTTATTCAACTGAACAGATTTGGAGAAATTTAGCATTGCATCACTTGCTCACTAATGGGTCCTCTGCAGTGAATGGGTGCCATCAGAATGAGAGTCCAAATTGATAATAACATCACAATAATCCACAAGTAATCCACACAACTCCAGTCCATCATTTAATGTCTTGTGACATTTTACATTGAAACCATTGCTTCTGGCTAAACTACCAGTCCATAATCCATAATAAAGCTTCCTCCAATGAAAAGGTACATCCTCTATTGTCCTCTCACATCAAAATCCATCAAATTGTTTAGAACTGTTTTGGCTTGTAATCGATGCTTAATCTGTGCTGCGCATATTTCTCTCCTGACTCAGACAAGACAACTTTTAAACTGAAGAAAGTAATATCATTGATAGAAGACTAATTTGAAGTTTCTTACTGAAATACAGCTTTTTGCTTCACAAGGCACTGATTGATGGACAGGAGTTGTGTGGATTACTTGTGGATTATTGTGATGTTTTTATCAGCTGTTTGGACTCTCATTCTGACGGCACCCATTCACTGCAGATGATCTACTGATGAGCAAGTGATGTAATACTGAATTTCAAACTTGTTCCGATGAAGAAACTAACTCAAAATTTTTTTTGTGTGAACTATTCCTTCCCGGTTCAAGTCCTGGTTTTTCTACACCAGTACAGTTTGATGTAAGTACAGTTTGATGCCAAGTCTGGCGGGCTCAAGCAGCACCAGATGGAGCTGACGATTCATGTTACTAGATCAATCGCCCATCCGCTGTTCAGTTTCACAGCAGAGACAACAAC